GAAAATTCCCGGTTCGTTTCGGCCCCGCCCCCCCCCCCCCAGTTGACATTTCAGAGTTTGAAGGACCAGAAGGCAGACTTACGCTCTTCACCTCCAGAATCAGGTCAACATACCTCTACCACTTCTTCCCTATAGATCTTTTGTGTATATGAATCTAAGAGTACAAGATCAGCTCTACTACAGGACTGTGTGTTTGCTCAGCAGTGCTCAGTTTTGGGCTAGGTAGCTTTTAAATTGAAAGTAATGATTTTAAATTAATTTTGGTTGCTCTTGTGAGGCCTGCATTAGCCCCACAAAGGCTAACATGCTATCCAAAACACGCCTGGGGACCCCTTCCTACTCTGGAGGAGAGAGACTTACAGCCTCTTCAATCTTCTAGTTAACAGAAGAAAGAGCAACACAAATCTACACCTCTGAAACGTCACCACATTACCTGAAAGAGATCTCATGTTACAGTTTTGCCCCTTTTAATCTCATCTAGCTGTTTCAATCCCCACATTTTGGATTGATGGTTTGGGGAGGTTTAGCTTGGTTTTGGCATGCTATCATCGCACCACCATTACTTTCACCTCCAAAACATGACGGAGATGAGAGGAATGATGCGCAGCCTTAATCCAAATCAAACCTTCATCGACCTCACCAAATGAAGACAAAACTTCACACCAATGTCATTGTGGTATTCCCTTAAGTTTATGAGCTTCCTGAACTCTTGATGGGGGTCTGTCATTAGGGCACGGCGTATGAGGCATTTTCGCCTCACACTACCCTCCACACAGGGCAGCCAGCTTCAGCGGGCACCCAGATTCCCACTCTGCCCCACACGCGCCAGCCACATTTCAGATCAGAAGCCATTTCAAATGTGCCTGGCACATACTCTAAACGTGACAGCAAGATGCAGTTTGAAACCAAAAACGGTTATCATGTAATTCTCTTTTTACTCATGTCTCTCATAAAGGAAAACGAAACCAAACAAAAACAAAACAAAAAAAAAGAAGAAAAGAAAAGAAGGGTTGGAATCAGGTGTGGGAGGGGGAATGGCGTAACATTTATTAATCAAAATTAAAAACTAAGCATGCTGACATCTGGAGCTAGAACAACCAGCAAAGTCACCACGTTCAGACTCATATTGGCTAGTTCTATCCATCCCAGCATTCTCTTGGGACAGCAGTTCGCCCTAGGCTCTACCACAAGCTCAGTGAAGTACACAGCCTCAAGTACTAGAGCGTGCAGCCACAACAACCTGCTATTACGGAAACAGTCAGTCACCACTGGAGTTAACATTCCAACCTTAACGACTCCCACAGCCTCCCGCCCTCGCCCCCCGAAATGGCTCCCACCCTAGCCCTGTCCCACACCACAATGTTAATAATTATAACAAGCAATAACCCATCTGTTATATCAGAGAAGGGAACAGAGACTCCACTGAGAGATTTAGAGCGGGATGTTAACATTTCTTCAGTCAACTGCACAACAAACAAAAACAGGAGAAATAATTCATTGGAGAAATGAAGTTAAGAAATAGCTGACGTGTATTGCTTTTTAACCATGCACTGATGCAAAATTGAAGCTACTGTTAATTTAAAAAAAAAAAAAGTCACAGGATAGAGGTACACACACACAGGCAGACCTGCTCAGTTCAAAGCGGTCTGCAAATTCTACTTGTGTGTACTTCAAATAAAACCAAAAATGGGGATTATAATGGCCATGGTACATTCCTGTCAAAGGAGCAATGAGTGTGGACAGCTGGGGGATTTCTGACACGGGGATGTATTTAGCATGACCAGCAGGTCCAAATACACCAAAACAGGGTAAAGGAAAGAGGAGGAAAGTTGCAACCATTACTCGTTATTTTGTAAATGCTTTCACCAAGCTCTGGGACCAGTAGAGAGTAAAGGAGACACTGTGCAGGTTGCCTTACCCAGCTGATGCTCCTGTTCTCCATAACCCAGGACCCACCTATAACTCCATCCATGCGTCTAAAGCCCTGCTCAGCTTGTCCAATGCACCAGTTATTTTCTCCTGCTATTCCTGTTCACACACAACTTTAACTGGTATGCAGAGCTCATCCGTAACCTCAGCTACATGGTCCTACCACCCCTAGTGATTTCTGATGCCACTCACTATGGGTACTCTAGTAAATATAAACTATTAACAGAGTAGAGCATCTTCAACAAACATGAACAATCATGTTTTCCAATAGAAGAAATAATAATTAAAAAAAGGCCCTTGCTAGCTGCACCACACTCCTCCAGTGCCACAGCGAAACTGCAACAGAAGACACCATTGAGTGGCATAGTCCCTGAAACCCAGGACAGCCATGCAAACTCCCACTCCATCTATTTAAGTGAAGTGATTCCACAGGGACAGTTTTACCCATCTTGGTTCAGCTTTTAAAATCTTTAGCCTCGTCTCAAAAGAAATGAGTGTGGCTGAACTTCTTGCAAAGATGTTAAGTCAGAGATGTTTCTATCAAAGGTACAGTTTAAACACTGCCTTGGCAAGGAAATAGGGGAACTAAGGAAAAGGCTTATGCATTTTTACTGGGCAGTAAGTAACAACCAAAAGGACTGTCTAAATCAAGACTGGTCCTTTCTGGTACAGTCTTTTGGATTGTCTGGGCAGCGTGTGAGAGAGATGAATACAACCGTAAGTGTTGCTTATCTTAATTCAAGTTCTCTTTCTCTGGATATCCTGTCAGTGTTGCTGGGGCTGCATTAAACCCCTTTCCCATGTGAACGTGTAGCACTTGAGTCTATAGATGTCAATTGTCAAACAACCATATTTGCTCAAGTATTCACAAAAGCCCAAATTTAAAATGACTCTTCTGTGATGTTATTGTCCTTGGCTCATCAATGAAGCATGAAAATATTTTTTTTAAATTCCTTCTTTAACATTAGATGATAGCTTTTTCAATAGTGTCATGTATTCTCTACAAATACAGAAATAACACAAGCATGGCAAAACAACTTATACAGGAAGCTGCAATCCCAACTGAAGCAGCATTCCAATTACTGAGCATGTTAATGTAGATAAATGAGCACTTTAAGACTATACAGTTCAGCTCAAAATAAGCCCATCTTCTCTTCCACTCTTCAGGTCCTATTAGGTGATCAATCCAACAAGAACATGAGGAAATCCAAAACTACAGCTTACTATCTCAGTGTATGCTATGGTGTAAGCCTCCCTTTTCTTTTTCCCTTGCTGCCTTAGATGGGCACACAAAGCGTGTTGCTGGCCCTCTTTACTCCAGAGAGCCTTTATGCCACTAAGACACAAGTGTTCCCATACCCCTGGAGAAATGTGTAACTGATGGTACCAGTTAGATACGTCTGACCACCTGCCAGGTTTAGGCAGCGAGCCCAATTTTAGGCTCTTTTATTTGTTGTATCTCAAATGTGCCATCTCCACCCGCAAACTGCCCTATAACAGAAGTTAAGAAGCAGAAAGGGCTAGAACCGTTTCCAGTATTTCTGTATTAGAAGGGTGGCATATGTGCACCAGGAATGAGCATGAATGAATTAAAAGAGGTGACAGGACAACGGTGTCCATTGCAGCAGGTGCTTCTACATGGTAATGGGACAAGCATGACCTTATTAACCCTTCCATTGAATTTATGTTATTATTTTTTTTTGAATGAAAGCCACTCGGTGTGAAATCTGGACACACGCCACCCTGCCATAGCGGGGGCTCGGATCACACTTGAGTCTGCGCTGCCCTAACAAAGCCTCTGTTCCCATCTCTAATGTGGTGCTGGAATGGTTAGTATAATTCAGTTTTTTCCACTGCAATCCACAATCTGATCGGTTGGCAGGTCACACTGGCACTCCTACCTGAGGTATTTTAGCGCTAATGATTGGTTCCTGTAAGACTATTCTATAACAGAACACAGGAAGAGCAGTTCAAAAAAACACAGCTGTGGAAAGAAACAATCATACAAACAGCCCGCGGCGGGGCTCACCAGCCTTTTCTTTCCAGTGGATGCAAGCACGCTTTTCACAGGCAAGAGCAGTCTTCGCACGGGTGAGTTTGTTTGGGTTTCCCCCCCGCCGCCCAGATTGACCCCATTGTAGAAGAAAGATAACCTTTCTTAAGATCCAAAATGAAACCCGCTGCATCCTGGGGCAGGTTGTTTTATGAATTCAGGTGTCTTGCCAGAGTGGGACGCATCCAACAAGAGATGGAATGCCTTCTTCACAGAAGAAGTGGCTAGCAGGATGGTTGCCCCAGGAAAGAAAAAAGGAATGAGGAAGAGGAGGAGGAGGAAAATGAGAAATCAGTGCATAATGTGTATGCAGAAAAAGCAGCCCAAACTTGGGACACTTCCCCTTCATCTTGCCTAACACTAACCACTCCCTGTCAGCTCAACTGCTTTCCACCCTTCCTTGACACAACCCTATGGACTCAGAAGACCTAGGGGAACCTCAGTTTAACTTTCTCCCCAGTCCTAACTGCAATACCCCCTGCCATCCCTTCTGCAATCAGGACAAGCCTTTCACAGCAACCAGAGGGACGTAAGCACTGCAGTGAAAAGCACGACAAATCAGTGGGGCACAGGGACACTGTAATCATTCCACCTGTGCCAAGCAAATTGTTTGGAAGGGTAACTTCGTGTTTGGATTATGGTAACTTTTTCCTGAGCTCCATCGGGGGGCTCTGGGCAGCGATAACATAGGGAAAAACTCCACCATCTACCTTAATGAGTCCCCCTCTTCTATCGTCCTGCTTTCTGACAGTGAGACCACTGCCACCAACAGCAAAGTCTTCAGAAGTCCACCTAACTGTTCTAACCTGACTTGGGGGCTTGGTTTTGTGTTATGTGATGCTACCACTGCAGCACCAAGTGGTTATGGAGATTCTTCATTATTGAAGTCTCTGTCCTTAAAACATGTTAAATAAGCCTCTCCTCCCCACCTGCAATGGAAGCTCTGAAGGAGCTTTCTCAAAAGAAATAGGGAGTAACCCTGGCTAGCCTTCCCTTTCAACACGACAGTCTCTTATATGCCATACTCTGAGGGAAGAGGCACTAAGCATTGCTCATTTCCTTGCTTACTTGCTGTAGCAAAGTCAGTGGTCTATAAAGCTGGTGTTTTAGGAGTGAGGTGGGAAAACCCAGAACCCTCTGTAGTCCTTGACACAGTTTTATAAAGGAACACTTGACTAGGCAGATCAATTTTTAAAGGACTGCACACACAATCGTATATGTAAGAATGAAGAAATGCACCCAATCTCTCTATGCTCAGAGAGCACGCCTTCCAACTGCTGTAACTGTGTTGGGTAAAGTGCCTTTACAAGACTTGACCCTCCATATAAGCCAACAAAATCCAAAAGCCAATTCCATCCATTTTCTTGAGTCTAACCCCAGGCTCCTCTTTATAAATGTCAGGAGTAGCACCTTCAAAGGAGTGGGGATATGAAATCCACACCAACAACTGTGCCACTACCCAATACAAAGCTGCTCCAGCTCCAAAGAGCTATTACCTACAATACCATGAAAGGGAACTCTGCTAGAGGTAGGCAGGCCACAAGTTGCGATGGCAGTAGTGGACCTGAATGTTTTGGCTTTGAAAGGCATATTCCTACCACAGCTGCTCTGCAATAGCTCTCCATCGGAGAGGAAACCGCTTTTCTCACTGGCCAGTCAGAACCCCTCCATCCACAACCCACCTACGTATACACAGATGCCCTGGAGATTTGCAATACGGACTGGCTGGGTAGGACAAAGACAATGACAGGACAAAGTCTCCCATGGCATCAGAGCTAATTCCCAGATAGGAGGAGGCTGCTGACTCTTCTAACCGAACATCTCCACATATTTGTACTTTACAATTCCCCAAAGAGGCAAGAGAATCTAGCCTATTTAGGTACCATTTCTACCAGCAAAATGAGATGTCAGTTTTCACTCTAGCATCTCGGTCTCCATTTTTAATCAGTCCCAGTGTCTTCCCCAAAGGGATAATCTCCACATCCCCGTGGCACATGAACATTTTTAAACATACAGCTCGCTCAGTTTAGTGTGGGCTGCACAAATCAAACCTGAAAGGGCCCCAAGAGGGGAGAGAAAGGGGAGGGCGGAGGGGGAGAAGGAAAGGGAAGGTCTGAGGCTAAACCAGTCCTGTTATTTTTACATCCAAATTACGTAAACGAGAGAAGTGTTGAGAGAAATTTTAATTCGCTAATCATCTCTCAGGCTGATTAGTAGCAGTGTGCATGTGGGGGACAGGACACCCAGTAAACTGACCCTGGCAATGATCAGGAAACCCAAAGGCTTAGGTCTTGCACCCAGGGGCAAGCGCAGTGACAGAGAAGCATGCTTGCATTCCTAAATATATAAATATATATATCCACAAGGAAGAAGAAAATCAAAGTAAATGATATTTTAAAAAAACAAACCAAACCAACCAAACAAACCAAAAGAAAAAAAGAAAAAAAAAAAAAGGCTGGCTTGTCAGGGGTTGGGGACGAGAAGGCTCCGGTGTGTGTACTTACATAGAGGTCAGCACCGTAAAATCCGTCCTGGTAAACCACACTGCAGAAAATCCACACAAAAACAAAAAAACAAAAAACAAAAAACAAAAGAACAGAAAACACATTCCGGTTATTGAGGACGGCAGCATGCACATGCGTTTTACACAGGCAGGTGATGTATGAATCCACAACCTGGGCTTTTGGCAGGAGCAAATCAGCGAGAGAATGTGTGTGCGCACGCACGCTAGACGGCTCCAAGTCATCTTCCATGGCATGCAAAGGGGGAAGGGGCGGGCAGAGGGGGAGACAGTATGCAAAGGAGAGAGGGAGGGGAACCACCATCTTGTACAATAAAAATAGACTCAAAAAGATCTGATGTCCTGAAGAAGAGAAACAAGGGTTTAGAAGCCTCCACTCTGGTTATTCTCCTGGAATGATTTTAGTTACCCCCTAAACACATGGTAACATTGGCTTCATGAAGCGGGCTTGTGAAATCGAGGAGCCCCTCAGAAGGCATCCCACAGGGGCTGGAGTCACCTATGTCAGAAGCACGTTTCAGAGTTGTGTATGATTATGTATTTCGAGCTTCACAAGGCTGCACGACTTTGTTTCTGACATCCATACATCACCTGCTTTTACCCTGCACATTAGACATGCGATAAGATTTGGCTGATCACACAAGCATGCAAAGTATTATTATTCAGCATCTTAAAGAACCAATGCAACACCTCAGGAAAACAAGTCAATCAATTCTGATCAAAGTAAACACAGAGAAATGTAATTAAAAAGAAAAAACCAAAAATACCCACAATGCATTGCTTTCACAAGCAGAGATAATGAGCTAAAAAGGTTAGGTGACTGGTCCAAGGTCCGAGAATTGAAAGGTGCAGTGGGAGTCCCTGGTAGTAACGACCTATTCCATAGCAGAGAGGAGCAACTGGAAGGGTTTCCATGGGATGGTGCTTTTTCTGCTTTAAGCTATAGTTTTCTTTCTCTCAGAACTTCAAGCAGGAAAACTGTTAAACCAGAGCCTGGGGTTCCCAAAGAGCCACTCTTAACAGAGCATTTGCTAGCATAAGACTGCGCAGCTCGCTTTGGGGAGAGGGGTCGGGAAAGGATGAGGAAGGAAGAGAAGGGATACCCCCCACCCGTTTGAATTCAGCCTGTGCTTCATAACAAGGAATTTCCTCCTGCTTTGTCCTCTGAATAGCTCCGCACAAACTTGCTCAAGGCTTCAAAAAACATTGGCCCCACCATCTGTGATGTTCATGGATCTGATGTGCATGACTTACCAGTAGCATTAAGGAAAAAGAAGGTATAGAACACTAGCTTTTCTTTTGATTATCATTTCTTACTCATCAGATGGAATGTGAAATGCTGCCAAGAGCCTGCCACCCTCAGACACCCACCTATTGTAAGGCACGCACACACAAAAAAAGCCCAGCAGATCTTGCCAAAATTCTGCATGCTATTACTAAAAAGTAAAATAAAAAAAAAAATCTGTTGCAGTGTTAGCTACTGCTTGAATAATTTAGTCTTGCTGTCTTCCCCAGGAAAAGTACACTCCATTCCCAATGGACAGAGTTACTATGGTCTCCAAGAGCGCTGGGAACAGATATGAAGATAGAGATCCTTGTTAGAGGAAGAGGGGAGCCACTTCAGCAGGGAGAAGCAGGCCGTAAGATCATTTTTGTTGAAGCTAAATTTTTACACCCACATCACAAAGAATTTGGCTCCTGGGGCAGTGACTTACATTGCTGGGTTCTCTATCTAGGACCAGGAGTGTTTTAGCAGTGATACTCCACCTGCTCCTGCAGGAAAGGCAAATGCATGACAGAGGAAGTGACTGTTGGTTTATGAACAGGTTAGCAGTTTTAACAGTTATTCTGAACACAATCAGTTAGATGAATATAAGCATTACCACATTGGATCAGGCCACTATTCCTGTAACTTAGAATCTTGTCAGCAAGAGATGCTAGCATCAGCTCTCCAGAGAAAACTGCAAGGAACACTAATAACAAGTAAGACTTCCTGAGTCCAAACAACAAAGCACACGTGCATCCTCCATCTCTCCTTCAGTTAGGACTTGACTGACACCAACTGCCAGGGCTGATATTTAGCAAGGTTTATTTATATGCTAAATATTAATATTTGTGATTCTTAATGCTAGCAAAAACTGCGAGAATTCCTTCATTTGAGAACCACAGAGACCATTCTGGTTATGTAGACTGACCAGAAGCATAAAGCAGCCCATCAGCCCATCAAATCTCAGTGGCATCTACAAAAAGCCCACTAGCTGAGCTAAAACACAACCACGAGAAAAAGAAACATGCTAGTTTTGTAAAGCAGCCATCGTATCATTTAGGTGTACCAACAGTTGACTTTGTTGTAAAAGGAACCAAAAAAACCACTCCAAACCCCCAAAGCACCCTATTGCCTTATATCTAGTATGACTTTTATCTACTTTTGGCTTCAAGTCAGTGAATCCTCTATGTATTTACACTCCTAGACTAAATTATTCTTTACCATGGCAAGCCTACTCTTCATATAGGCACTTAATGACCATGAACAGGTCAATGCCTAATGTATAGTTTGAGAAACAAAATTGATCAAGCTCATTTGGTTTTGAGAGTTTTACAGTAGGCAAGTTTTTTTTCAGACTGATTTAATTCTTACAGCTTTTGGTCTGAAGTGTTTGTCAGCATTCTTGTTCAGAAAGCATGGCCGCTACAAAGCAGGGCAATATTCCAGTACATGCTATATGCAATATATGAGGAATATGCAATATTCCTTATGCTATATATCAGAGGTTATAATGTCTCCTTACTTCTATTGAATACCGCCTCAGTTATAAATTGAAGGTTGCATTTGTATTCTGAGGTCAGGCTCAGGTGACTATCTAACATCCACTCCAATGGTCTGAGCAATTGCTTTCTAAGGTATGAATAGCCTTCCCTGGATAAACGTCCATGTCCATACGTAAGTATTTACATTCCACATATGCATTAGTAAATCTTAGTTCGAGTTCTTGAAATAAATGTTAAAACTATTAAGAACGATATGATTTCTTGCACCTTCCTCTGGAGTATCTAGCACTAGACACTGTCAAAACTTACTCTAACCTGAATGGCCCTCAGGTCTGATCCAGTATGGCAATTCCAACAAGCTTTTATTAATCTACATTCTGTATTTTTTTGAATTCTGCTAAGCTCTCAAATGCAGTGAGACCATTAAGTTTTGTAACTTAAACACCACTGAGGTTTGTGAAAACCAATTCCTTCTACCAGGTTTGAGTCAACCTGCAGCTTACTTTACTGTCTTCTTCCACATTACTCACTATGTCTTCATCACTCATGTGTTGCTGACTGATCTTATGGTGTCGTCTTTCCGCTGGCTAGGAAGAAAGCAGCTGATGCAGGGTAAGGTGTCAGGAATGTGTGCCTGCCCCTGACTCCATGGAGGTCACCAGTGCCCACATGGAGCGGTGGCTGTCCCAAACATTACTGCAACAAAATGTGCTATTCAGTTCCTTGTATTATTCCACGAGGAATCAAATTCCCTGTACAAAATATCTTGTAGATTCAGACTATGATGACAATAAACACCAGAATTAATTACATCCCAGTGCTTGGGACTAGGGACAGTTCTGGTCCATTTGTGAACCTGCCGTGTTTACTGCTGCCCTGCAAATGTTTACTGGATAGTATGCTGCCCATGAAGACATGAAATCAGTCAGCAGAGTCAGACAAACTCAACGTAACGTAAGTAAACACAGTCATGAGACGGTATTTGGAAGTGATAATCACTGGAGCCTGGCCCATATTCTAAATGGAAATAAACCTTTTACATGGGACTCAGGCTGGATTTATATCAAAGACAAGCCTAGAGTCCCTCCCAGTGCGCCACTTGTGACAGCCTCTTGCTAGGAATGCTCCAGCCGTTACTCCCAGGGATGAAGAGCACATCCCCCCCCTCCCCAGTGCAATATTTCACATTCTGCTAGACAGCAGCACTTAGCTCAGCTTTGCTTCTCTGTTTCACTGTGGAGCATTTCCTAATAAAACCGGACTGGGTCATTTTTAGAGCAACAGACAGACAAGTTGCAGGTCAGAGGCTATGGTTAGAGGATATAGAATATGAACCAGGAGCAGTGGCAAAAAGAGGTGGATCTGAAAACCCAGAAGAAACACTGTTTGGAAGGCCAATGTGTTCAGATAAGAGGTTTCATTTAAAGTCTTCTGGTGAATTAAATACAAAGATTGCCAGATTTGCTGGAGAGCAAAGCTAGACAGATACGTGACCACGGCAGCTTGCTTCCTTAAGCTCCACTTTAAATATCAGACAGGACTCTAAAAAGAAAAGGCCACAGCAGCCCTCGCCACTTAGCCTGCTACAGAAGGTATTGTGAGCTTACCCAGCATATATCAGGCCAGCTCCTTGCACTGATGTGTGTGGCTTCCACCTCCCTTTTTAATAAAAGATCTATAATTTATTTTTTTCCCTTTTGGGGCTAGTCTAAAGGAAAGAAGGGTCAGTCCACTTCTCTGTGTTGGAGGATTCATTCCTACTCCTATCCTTTCTGAGAACGTTGCCTGGAAAATATGGCAAGTAAAATTCCAGAGACAGGCAATATGCATAAAGCATCCTCAAAATCAGAAACAAAAAAAGATAGTTTGGAAGGGATTTGCTGATTTATCTGTCGTTCCATCACACTTAAACAAACAAAAACCCAAAACAAAACTCACATACAAACCTAGTTCCCTGTATTTTTTAATTTTATTTTTTAATTTTTATTCCCTTTTTTTAAACAGCAGAATACTCTTTTGTAAAAGCATCTATTCCACTGCATTACTAGTGAAAAGTCAGAGGGCAAAGAATGCTAAGGCCACGCATTCACCATTGCTTCATACGAGTTAGAAGAACGCTGCACTTTTGTTCTCCCTATATCCCAAACACTCCCAACTTTAAATTAATGGACTTGATTAATCTTTGTTTTAAACCTTTTTAAACCGTCTCCAACAAAGAAAGCAAATCCATTGTGGGTAACTGGCTCTTGTGTGTCCTACTGCCAGATGGTGAGGCATGAAGGTAATGGATAATACTCCTCATTCCTGAATATGAAAACACAAATGGAGTGCAAAGAGCAGAACCTTTTCAGAAATTTTAGACCTTCTCTCTTTGCGTCCTTCTCAGCAGCGCTATAATGTATTGGGTCAATGGATGACGAATACCATGTAGACAAATCGAGAAGTTATAAGAAGGAATTCATCAGCGCTTTAAGCTGTTGCAAGTACTGAATATTGTTTCAGTCAAGAACTTAACATGGAAAAATTTAGATTTGCCCCCACTGGATGCCATAGTGTGCAGAATGCTCTGGCACTAGCAATATCCTGACTCTCACCATCCAGACAATTTTAGTTATTTTTTGGTTAACCAATCAGCTATTTGACACGGTTGTGCAGAGCACTCTGCTCTTGTGATCAGTGCTTACCCTGGGTAGGCAGGGATGGCTGTGGGAGGTACCGCCCGGACTGCCCCATACACTGTCCTTCCTCGGCCCCTCAGATGGGCTCCCCGAAATGCGGCTGCTGTGGTGGGTGGCGTTGGATAGGGGAAGCCTGGAACTGTAAAGACAGACAAGGTGGAGGGTGAAAAGGATCTGAGCTCCTGCCCAGAGAAGAACCGTCTGCTTCAAACAGTGACACAATAGCTCCACAGCGGTGGGACATTTTGCATCAATCCTGCAGAGGGGCATGCTTATAACCCAGCAAGCATCCGATACATACTTCCTGCTACACCATGGCCTTTGGGGGAAGAGGGGTTGCAGAGAGGTTTGGCATGCAAGAGGTTAATGCTTTGGCATGCCTCACCCACCACAAACAGGGTACAAATCCCCCCGCCTTCTGACACCGCCATGCAGCCTGGTTAGAGTCCGAGAAGCGCAGAGAGTTACTATCAATATAGCAGGCGGCTCTTCCAAAACTGCAGAGGCTCTTTAAAATAATTTGCCAAGAGGCCCTTAAAGTCAACCAACTTACATCAGTCTCTTCCCTCCTTTCCCCTCCCACTCTTTGCCACCCAATCCTCTGTATGTTCATTTTAAAGCCTGAAAGACAAGATAGCCCATATAACAGCAGCAGAAATTTCCCATAAAGTGCCAGTTTACTGAGAGCCCACCTTCATTTAACAAGCGCGACCAATATCTGGCTCCATGTATAGTGGGGCCTGCTTTATTACGCTTTACACTGGAGTAAACCGGCTCATGATGAAATGCTGTAAAACCTCAGAGGCATCTGCAAACACGTAATAAACAGATACCAAGAGGGAAGGCGTCCCAGGGCGCAAACCCAACCCAACATGCGTCCAGGTGCATGCCACTGGGGGCCCTGCAGACTTGCGGTTTAGCAGCTTGTATAATATGTACTTTAGGGATTTGTCCGTTTGGTTTCTTTGGTTTCAAAAGAGGGAGGGGGGCAAGGGAATGGCCTATTCCTCACACACACCCTCCCCTCGTTCTGCAGCCTCCTCATCACTCAGAAAGACCCATTCACCAGTACAGAAACACACTGCAGATGAACAAGTTACAGCCACTGCACAGAATACTTTGGCTCAAGGTAAACTCATTCCCAGCGAGACCCATCCTTTCAAGTATATATTATACAGACTGGAGAGAAGAAGGGTAACAGGTCATCATTAACTCAAGCACAGTAACAATACAGGGGCCAATGGGGGCTACTTACTGATTAAAGGAATGTAAGTGTTAATACCCCCCCTTCCTGACAGGGGCACTGCGGCGTCATTGCCCAGCGAGACATCTGCTTGAAAGCTGGACGCTGATTTAATTTTAAAAAGAAAAAAAAACAAAACAAAAAAACAAAAACAAAATGTAAAAAGGTTATAAAGAAACAGCAGATTGAGAACATAAACAAACACCACTGCAGTTAAACGGCAGAAGTGGAAGTGTCTACTTAAGCTCTACCTGCATATAACTCAGGGCCGTACACCGCTCCAACCACAGGACTCAACTTCCAACCTGAAACAACAAAGACTGCAGTGAATGCCAAAATCTACACCAAGAGAAGGAGTGGGCAGCGTGGGTACAGGGAACAGTCTCTTGCCTGCGCCCCAGCTTCACATGCACAGCTCTTTCCAATTTCTGCTTTGCCTCAATCCCCCTTGGTGTAGATGGAGGCCAACTGCCTTTTTCTAATGTCAGGTTCTAGGTATAGATCGCTGTATCAGAGGGAACAGCAAAACATCAGCTGATCCGCAGCACGCAGAGGCGCTGCTGAGGGAATGCCAACTACCTTATATGCATATTTGCCACGAGCACCGTACGACCCTGCGTTCCCTGCATGAACCTTGCTGCCAGCTCTTCCAGCTCCTCCCTGCTTTCACGGGGAACACTGACGGATCCAAGAACCTCTCTAATGCCACCGGCCCAGACTGTCATCCCAGGCAAGTCAATTTATAAACTTAAATTCTCAAAACACCCTTCTGTCTTACTTGCTAGAGATCTGCTAAAAAGCAACAGTGTCTGAATTTCCTCACTAACTGAATTACATGACTATGGTGCAGAAAAGCAATTCAGTCTATTCAGCTCACATTTTCTCCTCTCTGTGTTATTTTAGTATTTCCTGTCTACTTTATGCTGCTTTTCAGGTGAAAGCCTTCCCAGAGAATTGATTTCAGTATCACCTGGATAATTGGCAAGAACTGCAAATCATCAACATAAAACCTACAAGAGAATAGTGCTTAAAGAAGTCATCGCTGGGATATGAGGAGAACACATTTCCTAGTCAGATCTAGAAACGCATCTGTCGCACCCCCCACCTTTCTATCTGGGGAGAGAAGCAAGGGGTGCAAAGCTAGCATCGTGATCTGGGCTGGCTTCCACAAAGCATTCCTTTCAGGAAAGACCTCAGCTGTTCAGCTAGCAATCACACAGGTATTTTTATTTAAATAAATCCATACCCTTCCTCTGTCTTGGAGTCCTGATGCACTTACTGTGCTTTAACACCTCTAACCAGCCTAGAAACCACACGAACAACTTTGTGAACTGCAGCCCACCACCCCTTCGTCTGCTGGCAGAGTATCAACGAGAGATGCAATGCACACTCCCTCCGCAAGACTAGGCACGCTGCCGCTGCGCTGCCCACCTGGATGGCAAAATACTCAAGTGAGTGATGGCAATGAGAGAACTGGGATCAACCCTCAAATTTAACAACAGTCATACGACCGCTCATCAGTATGCCTTAAGCCTGGCCTAATACTAAATACCTTTGCGTAGCTTTAAAGCTGGCTATAAATTGCTGGCTGCGAAAGCAAAATATTCCTGCCCGTTATCAGGGTTTCACAAGTAAGCCAAGTTTCGTTACCAAATAGTCATACACATTTTCTGCCCTTGTTTTCAGGACAACATAACATGGCTGCATTGCCTTTTACTACAAAACCTCCTGGTTCCTTTCAGACACCGAGACTCAGAATCCCAGCCTTTCTGCCTGCCCGTTTCCCCAATTCTGTAACCAAAAAAAGATTTATTTGCCAAGAGCCACACAACAAGTCAGTAGCAGAGCCACAAATAAAATTCGTATCTTCTGACTTCCAAGTCTTACGTTGTAATCAAACAGATTCTCACACTAGCAACTACCTATATGCAGCTTCCTGCCCTGTTGAAGCTGTTTGGGAACATTTTCAGACCAAAAATAATTTTTCTGCCTGTTTCAGGACAAAGACTCGGATTCAAAATCTGTATCAAAGCAGTGTTCAGTTCTGTCAGGAGAAGAACGACTTTTTATGCTATATATGCCTATGCAATAAAATTACTGCACAGACAGAAGAACCAAGATATCCTGATGAAACAGGATTCTTCATTACCCAAACAACTTGGTCTTTCTCTATTCAGGTTCACTGGAAGATGATTGAACACAGGCGCAGACTGTAACAAAAAGTGAGCAAACAAGCAGCGCAATGCCTCTGTTTTCCCGGCTGCTTGGGGACAGCTCTATTTCTACAGTTAGAACCTAAACTGAGATATATCCAATTATGTATCATTAAGTTATGCTTCTGCATTCATATTTAGGTATCTACGTGATGCCAATGAGACTCAGGAGTACTGCACATCCCACTGTACAGCATCAGCTTGCAGTAGTGGCAGGAAACCCATCGGTCCCTGGCTTCTTCTCCTAGCTTGGCCACACTGAGCATGTCACTACTCCTCTGTCCCCACTTCTCTATCTGTAACATGGTATCCCTCCATAAACGCTTAGGAATTATACTGAAGAATAATGCTATAAATTAGGGTTTGTGGGGGTTTTGTTGGTTTCTTCTGGTTGGGTTTTTTTTTTTGGTCCTGAGGAGAGGCTTTTCCCTCACCAGGAAGCTTTTGTCTTTCTTCAAACCTTTCAGCTTATCATTAGTACAGTCTCTCTTACCATTTGCGTAAGGTGTGACCATCTTCTTATTGGTCATCACTCGCGCTGTGGCGTTGTTAACCTAAAAGTAAGAAAGGGGAGGGGGAGGAGAGGGAAGGAAGCATAGGACATTAGGGAAAACGATGGAAAACTCTCAGATACCACACACGCACACACACACTATACTTCTCTGAGCAAAAAAAAAATTGAACAACTAATTTTACAAGAATGCAATCTTTAAATTACTTTTAACAGTTGCCATTTAATTATAAAAGTTACAGCTAAACGTGGCACTTTAAAATTATGCATTAAACAAAAGGCCAACCAGAGTAAAGTGCAGATTCTCCACCACCCTGCCACCCCTTGGTGCGTGCTTATTTTCAGCTCATTGATCGAAAGGGCAAAACTTTGGAGGTTTTGTCCAGGTTCTGTTCGAGAGGCAGTGATAATTTCTGCAGCCCAGGGCAGGGGAACTGAACCAGGTGATGCACAAGCTGATTTGTTTCTCAAGCTCACCGTTGGGATTGGGGCCCAGCAGGTTGCTGGCAGGCATACTTTTCAGATAGAAAAAGGTAGCCTGGAGTCCATCAGCTTTAGATTTGAACTCCCAAGGCTTGAGGAGATTTCTGGAATACCACCAAGCATTTGGACAGTCTATATTCACTGATTTCTTCCCCATCGTTTTCAAATCTTTTTCCAGATTATTTTTTCCTTGTCACAAATCTCATGGACCAAAAAGAAGAAATACGTAGCAGTAAACCTGGGTCTTTTTTTTGTTTTATTGTGCCCTCCACCCTCTTTACAGAGCTCTGCATAGTTCCAAGCGGTTTGATTGCTCAAGCAAGTGGGGTGTTACCACAGAGATGGTGCTGATAAAGAAAAGATGGACCAGTTTGGAAGCCAAGTTACTGCAGCCCCGTGTCAGACAGCCTCAAAGTTCTTGCAAGGAGGGTGAAGTATTTATACAGCATCAGTAATTTATCAAAACCCATGCCAAATGAGAATTGAGGCCAGGGTGAGGAAGAGAAAAAAAAAGGAGATAAAAATAAAAGCTGCCTTGGGCCCTTGAGACTTATGGATGGTGAGCGTACACAGGGTGGGGAGTCTGGAGCTACATTTACTCTAGTTTCAGCCCCAAAACAATAGAAACATTACACATTTAAAAAGAAAGAATGGGAAACAACAATGATGAGACTGAGAGCATGCAGTTAAACACACACAGATAAAAGAAAGAAAAAAAACAACACAATTGATTCAGAGGGTGGGGAGGGGAGGAGGGAGGAGATAGGGTCTCACAGACAATCATTAAGATGGAGCGAGTGCCTGAAATCAGCTGCTACAGCGAAGTGCAACACAAGCACTTAAAGGAAAAATTGCCAGAACCGATCAGAAACCACCAGTCAGCAAAGAGACCAACAGCTGCATTTAACTGAGTAAAGAAATAAACCGGGGAGGGGGGGAGAGAGAGAAAGAAAAAGAGAGAAAACAAACAGTAACAGCTACAAACAGGTCTCAGAAAGAGAGAGCAGCAGAAAGAAGGGGCAGGAGAGAGAGAAGAGGAAATGGGTGCATTAATAAAAACCAGCCAAACTGGAGTTCAGTAACTCTGAGTAAGATGTGCAAGGGGAAATCACCATGAAGTCAGTAATCAAACAGCTCAGACTGCTACAAAACGATATGTACATCCAAAGTCCAGGCGGCATTACTCAACAGCATTGAAAATAAAAGGGGGAGAAGGGGGAAGGAGGTGGGTGGGGACAACAAGTCAAATCACATTTCGTAGTGTTAATGTGAGATGGCAGATGGATTTTTTTCTTTCTTATTTAAGTTTTTTTGTAATTTTAAGAAAAATTAAAAAAAAAAAAAAAATCATGAAAATGTGTTTTCCTTGCATGATTTCAAGTTTTTTTTCTCCAGTTTGGACATCCCAATTTAAGTTGTCCAAATCAGTAATTAGCATTGACTAAAAATTAGCAAAAAGCATTGACTACAAAGGATTATTTATTTTATCCTTTGTATTTTCCAATTTTAATAAAGTATTGCTTTTGTTCAAAAATGCTCCCAGTTTTTCCATACCTTTATAGAATTGATTCTTTTAATTTTTTAGTTTTTTTGTTGTTTTTTTTTTTTTTTTAAAGAAGGAGGGAGAGAAGGAAGACGCCAGTTAGCCTTCAACACAGTGGAACACCAAACTGGTCAACACCAGCCATGCCCGATATATGGCCATGTTGGCCAGCCAACATTAACCCTTCACTCCCCTGTGGTGAGAGCTAGAAACTTTAAGGATTAGCTTTCACCGAGCCGACTCTTGACCGTGGGCAGGTCAAGAAACCAGCGGTGTGTATAGCACAGCCCACTCGGGGCTTCTGCCCCATGTCTCCCCTCCCCTCCCCACCACAGGCATCATCTCACACTTGCGTGGAGGAGAACTGGCCTCGGAGGAAAGAGAGGATACTGGGTGGCGCCCTGCTTTCTTTTTTGGACACAGAGTTAGAAGTCGGACAGTACTCTTTCAGTTAGATTTGTTCAGGCCTGGTAACAGGAAATCGGAGCCTCGCAAACTGAAGCAAAGGAAAAATCAAGACAGCAGAAGGGCAAAAATTTGGAGTGGGTGGGAAAAAAACTTAATAAAAGAAGAAAGAAAAGAAAAAAAATACCCAAAACAACAATAAAAATATTCCGTAAGGGGTTTAAACTTTTATACATTTCAGTGCAGGGAGGTGAAGGACACAGACACAAACACACACGCACACACAAGACTGGGATCCAAATGTGAAATAAGTGAGGCAAGACACAAAAAGAAATCAAAAGAATAAATATAAAGAAGAAATTGAATTACTGAAGACATGCACCTCGATTTTACGGCCCTCTACCACGGTGCCGTGTAATTTCTCCCTGGCCCTGTCTGCATCAGCACTATTCTCGAAAGTTACGAACCCGAATCCCTGCATGCAGCGGGAGAAGGGGGGAAAACATGCACATCGTTATATATTGAAATACTGATCTCTAGGTAAATAGAGAAAAAATATCACAGTATGAAATCGACATCAGCACAACTCAGCAATAACCTCCTAGAGTCACATTGTTGGTTCATGCATGTTTCATAAATGAAAGAAATTAAATTCGATAAAATAAAGGATCTGTAATTATAATAAGAATAATAAGAGTAATTAAAAAAAGAAAAACATAAAAGCAATTGAGGCCAGACCAAAAAAGAAGTACAAAGTTACTCGAGACAATTTTTTTGTTGTTGTTTGGTTTGTTTGTTTGAAAACACTAAACCCTGCTCCGACATAGGCGAGCTGGTCAAGCCCAAGTGGGGCTTCTCTCCCCTCTGCTAATTAACACGCATGCTTTTCAGGACCCCCCGCCCACCCCAGACACAGTACAGGACATCGACACTGAGCAGCACTTCGTTCTCTTGAGAAACTGCTACAAGAGCGAGCAGCGATCTGAGTTCACGCCTGGCACCAGGAATTCTGCGAAGCTTTGGGCAAATCAAACACTGAACCTTGCTTTTCCCACCTGTAAAATGGAGACAATAATAATTACCTACCTTAGAAAACTGTTGAGAGGAAGGGCTGTTTGTAAAGCATCCCTTGTAAGCTCTTCGGGGCACAGCTCATGTCTACTCCTATGCCTGTAACTTCCCTAATAACGCATGGGGCCCTGAAAGTAAGCAGGGCTTCTAGGTGGCACCATCAAATAAACATTACTTAACATGAAGATTTAGAGTTTCACATATTCTAGTTTCAAAATTTTCCTATGAGTACTGTGTTGGACTTGAGTGTAAATCCAAACACCTAAATACTGATTCATCAGTAAAGGCAGGTTTTGTCTGACACTGCTGACCCACTGCTACCTCCCTCCCATCCTACCACCCATCGTACTTGGCTTTGTTCTGAGATGGCAACCTCTGCGCCGTGGATTGCAACAAATCTCTGCCTAGTTAGACCATGAGGTTTGAGAAATATTGACATGCCCTGCTTGGAGCAACCACAAAGGCTAGAGGACTACTAAAACATCCCTTTAGTTAGACGAATTTAGGTTTAATGCATCCATGAAGGCACATGCAACGTGCCTGTCCTACACGCTCATGCTGCTGCCAACTCATGCAGTCGCGTAACAGGGCAGGGTAAGAGATCATGCTTCCTTCCACGGAGATGAGTGCACTGACATTAAAACAGAGCCAACGTGACTAAGTGAATTAGGATTTTAACTAGTAACAAATGGTATCTTACTACAGACAACTGTGATGAGATACTCTTCATGCCATTACAGAGAGTGGGGCCAAACAAACAAACTTCGTTGTATTCTGCTTTTAGGGTATCTTAAGAACAGGAGTAACTGGCTCCTGTGGCTTGGTATAAAGCAAATACTGGTTTAATGCACAGAAAGTAATCTCTGCTGGCTCCGATACCCTCAAGAGCAGAAACAAAGCTTGCATTTGATGCAATGGAAATGCCTGATATTAACTGGAGAGTGAGGTGATGTGAGTGATCTACAGCTATGCCTTGTCAGGGAAGTGGCATGCTAGCCTCATGGCCTGCTCTGTGCAGCTCGGGGTCGATATGTATGGACTGGACCCCCCCCCAAAAAAAAGCATCTTAATTTTTAAGCACCATTAGCAACAAGACACAAGCAAGCCATCATTCTTCAAGTGCTTTTTAAAGGTCTTTACAATATTAATCTTAAAAAGCCCAAGCCGTTTGCACATGCTGGCCTTTATCACCCACAGCTAGGTTTCCAGCACAGAACAGCTACACATTTGTAAAATGCAGGGGTTTGGGGTTTTTTTGTTTTGTCTTGTTTTCTTTTTTTTTCCCTGAACAGCAATAACAAAAGAACTTAGCCAAATACTGCAATGTTGAGATCAACAAGAGCGCTCCTTTGGGCTCCAACCCAATAATCTAAAGCTTCAGATAATTCCATTTCTCCAGCTATAAATAAAAAGCTATATAAATAACAAACTGATGCCTTTTTCAGAACAGTATAAAAGTTTTCTGTTTAAATGAATTAAAATTGGAGCTACAAGACATCAGGGCTAATAAAGCAGCTCAACCACATATAACTCTCAAATATGTTGCAGGAAACCGGGGGGGGTGCGGGGGGTGTAATAGCAAAGCTGATTATGAAGGGACAGGGTATCCCGTCTGCTTCAAAGAACCCCTACAGGGAAAGGCAAGACTGAGAAATAGAGCAACACCTTTCCCTCTGGTTCTATATAATGGGGAAAAAGCATCTTTAAAAGGTTGGGGGAGGAGCGGAGGTAAAGACTGCAATAGGAATCTCTATTTCCCTCTTCTCTTTTTACATTAAAATTTGTTTGTTCTAGACAAGCCTGTGGATACTGAATGAAATTTATGTCTTCAGTGATGATGCAAACTGAAAGCTGGAGAGCAGAGGGAAGGTAATTTTTTTAGACATTAATCTGTGGAAGCTAGAATCAAACTAAGACTATTTTAATTCACATTTGTTTGCAATTAGTGAAGTCTGTATGGGATTTTAAAAACCACATGATCATTAAATATCTTTAAACTGATTAGGAATTTTGACTATTTTTAGTAAGTTATCTCAAGGTAGAGTACAATCCACAAGCAGACTATACGAAAATAATTAACAATGTGAATTTAAACAGAATTAATCTGATTCTGAACAACATAACTAATTAATGACAATTTTTGTTTTGTTGACAGATCAGTCCTTAGCTCATGCAACTCTTTGTTGAGAACCATTTAATGTCAATGCTGAATTAACACTTTACATAGTTGACTATGGCAGAGTCAGTATTTGTGCCCCCTTGGTTTGTCGTCTTAATGCATCTCTTAGACATTCAAATTTTCATCAGGAAAATCAGGTGAGCCACGCTTGACATTTTTGTTATTTCTAAGTTTAAAAACTAGCAATTATATATACATATTTTTGATGTGGGAGAGAAAAAAAGCACACACATATAATTTTAATTCCTTCTCACAGATGACCTGTAAAGAATAGGGATTAATTTGTACCTAAATACATATAAAACAAACAATTCTCAGTTTTCCCTCCCAAGGTTGTCTTGCCCTTAAAAAAAAAAGGAAAGGAAAAAAAAAAAAGAGGTGGCAGATGTTCAGTATTTACTAGCTTAGCTTTATAGCAGGTACTGGTTTGCTCCATAGTAGTAGGTATGGAGCCAGAGGAAGGGAAGATACAATCCCGGGTTAAAAAAAAAAGACTTAAGGTTTCTAAAATTTAGATTATACAAATAGCTTGGGTTTAATAAGGCTGTTATGATAACAAGGCTGAAACTTTCAACAATTCCTTTCCACCAGCAACTGCCAGGGACTTCTTCCAAGCAGAAAATAAGTTTAAGCCGCAGTGTACCCGGCGAACACTAAATAACCCCAGCAAACATTCTTAGGACTGGTGAGTAATTTGCAGTGCCAGACTAACCCCTTTTTACCCAAAAGTTTATTCAAAGGGCCTGAAGAGACCGAGTAACTGCCACCCTTTTAGTCTGGCCTCAGACTCTGCAATAAATAACAAGCAACATGATGAGCAGTGAAAAAAAATAATAAATGTATATATATAGTATTTGAACGTTTCCATCTCTGAAGAATGAGAAAGAAAATTTACCATGTAACCGTAAAGGGAGAAATCAAAAGCAGACGGTTCTCCTGGGTGTGGCCAGAACACAGAAATTAAACAAAACCAAAAAAAAGTAAAACAAAAAAAGAAAATAAAACCAAAGGAAACTAAACAGAGCCCTTTGAAATCCATGCATTGTTAACCCTTCATTTGTCATGGAGTTTAGACCAGTCACCTCAGCAGCAGCGTCTTTGCCTTGTACCACTGGAGCATGCAGCCAGCAACCGGCCTTGCCATCATCTGCTGCTGTGCTTGTTTTTAACCAAGTTTTTTCTCCCCACCCCCGCCCTTATTTCCATAATAAACAAACTTTTAGGAGCCTGAAAAAATGGCCAAGGAGACAGCAGTTTAGGCTACCTGTTTCCAAGGCATTTGGAGAGAGTAGGAGGGTTTCAGCTATAATCCACCTGAGATGAGCAGGACTGAATGCACTGACAGAAACACAGCATGAAATTCAGAAACACATTATTGAAGTTACACACACAAACGCACACGTTAAATTGGTGAGGGAATTGGCGTAAACCAAGCTGCCACCATTTCAGCAGCTCTTCCAGCTCCTCCCTGCCCCCATGCCGCACTTTCTGTGCATTAAGGCACATACGCAAAAAGCACCTGTCTGTGTACCTGTGCAATCTGGTGAACCAGATGCAAGAATTAATCTGGCTAAAAAAAACATAAGTGTATCTTCAAAAAAACCTGCAGGGCTATTTTTAAGCTGGATCATTTCCCCAGTCCAGCTTGTTGTGTTGCTCCACTGCCATTCCCTCCTGCAAAACCGAGGAGGGGGCAGAGGCTGGGAGTGAATGGCGGGAGCCTGGCCAGCACTGCTGCCCAGCGAGAGCTTGGGGCTTCAGAGCAGCTCCAGCCAGCTCGGGTCAGGGGCTTCACGGCCCCGCGTTGTCCCTGGTTGCGTGCTCCTCCTCCTCCCCTCGATCGATCGTGGATCTTACTATGTGGTCTGCCAATTCAACTAGCTAAACTGGCAGAGAACAAGCTCATTCCTCCCTCTCTCTCCCTGTTGCATCAGGTTTTTTTGCTAATTTAGCATCCTGGATTCAACACCCTACACAGTGAAACAAACGCTACTGGGAAGGCGCTCCCACAGGAGCAGTAAATCAGCTTATACTATCAAGCCATCAGCTTCAGCCTTAAATAAATCAGTTCAGTGTATGGGCTAATTTAACTCATTAGTTTAGTATCGCCGAGTTGAAGGCATAAAACTGTACTTCACTCAACTAGGATAAAGGGACACAGGTCATGCCTCCTTCATGCCACTGGCATTATAAAGGGATTTGATGACCTGAGAAAGCGACGCTGGTCACTGGTACTTAATTTGTTATTAAGCCTCTTTGTGTTAATAATACTATCTGTATTTCTGGCTCAACTGTATTTCTGGCTCAATTTTTTGTCTGAACAAAAATTACAAAAATAGAATTAAAATGAAAACAAGACCTCTAATTTATTTTATGTAACAAGGGGTTGTATCTATTTCACTGAGTGGAAACTAAGTCCAGAACAAGAGTGGCTCAGCTCAAAGGGCCTAATCCATTCAAAGAATAAATAAATGCACCTGCAAACATACAGTCTTTTAGGCACAGTTATCAAAACCTAAATTCATATTCTTATCTTAACCTACAGTTAACTGCAAATATAAAAAAAACCTTAAGTGTTTCCTCACTTTTTAGTTAGCACAGGTTTACTTACAGAACTCCACTCACCAATAGATGCAATTTCTTTTTGAAGACAAGATGTAAACTACTATACAACCAATTTTTTAATTAAATATGAAGTGCTTCTAGACACTTCAGTCCTATACAAGAACTTGGAGATCTGGGTCTCCCAAGTGGAAGGCAGTGAGGGACATAAACTTACACTGTCCTGAAACCACGAACTTGCAATCTGCACTAATATGAACACTTACCATTTAAAAATCTAAAAAAAACCCCAAAACAAAAAAACCAAAACAAACAACAAAACAAACCAAAAACTCCCTCTTCAGCCAAGATTTTGCTGTGTGCTTATGCACTCTTGGTCTCTGAATGTCATCGAGGGCACATCTTGGAATGCCACACGGTATGCAGCTGATGAGCAAAGAGCTTGGATTCCCTTCCCCTGCAGCTTTATGAATGCCACAGGGTACTCATTACGCAGGCAGACTGCATTAATTCTGCAAATATGTCTACTTGTTTGGTTCAGCACAACAGTGCCAAAATATGCATCTCCACTAACAAAAGGAGCAGGAATCCTTTCTCTCTTGACTTCCTCTGGAGGTGTCTTATTCATGGTTCAGTGAAGTGCATGATAAACTGCAACCATGAGCAGAATGCTATTTAAAGGCACTTATACAGGTCAGAACTAGAAATGTAATGGTAAACAGGACAAATGAAACAAACAGCTAGTTTTCTGGAAGCAAGCAAAAAACCCCAAACACATCAAGGGAAGACTGATGTCATTCTATTAAGCAAGAATAAAACTTAAATTCAAGGCATGTTTAAAGTTTGCATCTTGTTTCTCATATGTAGCAAAGCAGTATCAGTATGAAGTTTACCAGGGCCCATATAATCCTACTAAACAGATTGGATCTGGGCAGAAATTGAGTTAGGAAACAAGAATTCACATTGCTTTGAGAGGAGAATCAGCAAAACTAATTATTAACTGCCTCCTACTCTGCTATGATACTGAAAGTCAACAAATAACATTTCCTAAGCTGAATGCAAGAACCTGAGGTGCGAGGTGGCTGCGACGGACACATGCTGCTCTCTCTTTGGTCACCAAACTTCCTAAATATACAGAGATCCTGAAGATGCAGCCAGTTTGATTAGTTCCCCCAGGCTGTCGAAGAACACTGCCTGGTCATCTCAGGTGGATTCAAAAGGAAGAATGCAACCCACACGCTTCCTCCAGTCCCTCCTACCAACCAGCACTAGAGCGATCCCAGCAGAGATCTCCTGCCACAGCTCGGCAGGGACAAAGCGCTGCTCAACCCCACCGTACACTGGGCGGGGACGAACCCAGGGCACTTTGGGGTTTACCACTGTACCTTTTAAATATTTACAAAACATATACACAAAACTCTACAACCCTTAGGAACCCAGGGAAGGGAAGGGAGCATTGAGAACACAGCACAAGGCAGGCAGCAGGAGCATCTGCTTTCGGATTCCCAAGAGAGAGGAAGAGGAGAAGAAGAGAGAGAGGTTTCATATCATTAGATTAGAATGGAAACCACAGGGCAGGAAAATGCATTCAGATTTTTTTTTTTTTCCTTAAGGTGGAGGAAGAACCCAAGAGTGAGTGAGTGGCCTCCAGAAAGATCCATTTCCTTTGCTTCACCATCAGATCACCAAACTGTTGTTTTTCCATTATTATGTGAATACCAGGTGCTTCGTGCAGCTACACCCCACTCAAACACTGGGGCCTCCCATTTTCATGCTAAGCAGGAATAATCTTGCATTCTTTTTAGAACAGGAATTATTTTGGGTAGAGAAGGATGCAAAGATACCACAAAATTACTCTTTGGGTGTTTTCTTATTCTGTTCAGATTCTGCCCCATCCCTCATACAGGCTCTCAGTTTTGCAACTGCTTTTTGCTGTAAGATGACAAAAAAGCAGTAGAAAACTGCATGGTCAAGGACTGGAAGAACATCTCTTTGGATTGCTTTCTTTTTTCATGTATTTATTAAGCGTTCAGGATAAAATTTGTCAAGGAACTCTTCAGCAATAATTTTTGTTTTAACTGAAAACCAGAAGCCTTGGGCTTTACGAAGTGCACAAAAAGGTACTTTTCACAGTCATAAATCTTCACAGAAAGCCTCCAACGTTAGTGTTGCCTAGAAGGGAAAGGGCAGCCGTTGGCGTTTAATACAGGGCTGTATGGATGGAAGAGAGAGAGTAAAGTTCATGTGTGGAGAGAAAAACACTGTTCTGGAAAGCACAGGCAGTGAGGGATGAAGGATAGGGCTCACCACTTTGCCAGGCCAGTTTTTTTTTTTTTTTTTTCTTTTGCAATTACATCCAAACAAGTAGGGATTTGATAGAGGCCAGAGGCTATTCCCAAAGCCAAATAGAAATGACTAAAACCAAGACTAATTCACAGACAGCTCTGGCCTATAAGCATCAGAAGAACAGCAGAGAGCAGAATAACTATTTATAAACTCAGCATAGCTGATTGTTTTGGTAAAGCATATAGATTTTTATCCACAAAGGGAAATAAAACTCTAACTAAGCCATATAGACATTTACTTGTTCAGACTGTCTTATTTAAAAAAAAAAAAACAAAAAACCATGGTATTAACCACAAAGGATGGGGAAAGGGCTAATACTCATTTCTTTCATATACAGATCAACTGCTTTCTGGTTTCCAGCTAATACAGAGACTGAAGAATTTCAGAATGCATCTTGGGCAACATGGGTGGAAATTTGCAGAGGGCTCTGAACATGAACATACCCTGGAATATATGTTGAAGCAAAGAGGCCACCTTAAGACTGTGAACCTCAAATCCAAGCGAAAGGCATAGACTCTAAACCGAAAATGCTTAGCTGAATTGCAACTTCAAAATCTCTTGTGTGCATGCACACATGTGTGCACACGTGTGTGGGGGGAGGAGGGAAATTTTGTTTTAATTGAAAATGGGAATCTTAGCATTGATTAAGTCAAGCAGAGTATAGACATGCACTGTGCAAGCTTCCCCCATAGAGCTTTGGCAATGCACCTCGCTCCTGACCTGCAAAACTCCCTGCTATTCCAGTGCTGAACCTCCTGGGCAGAGAGAGAATCACATCAATTTGTCATTGTGGTGATACTGGTTATGTGATGAGAACCAATTGCCAATTAGGACAAAGATCACTGAATCTCTCTGCAGCTGACCTGAGCAACATTTGAAATCTCATCTCCAGAGAAATAAGTTACCATTAACCCTCAACAAAACCTCCCTCTTAATATATCTGTTCGATGAAAATAGGTGTGTGAATGCAAATTCAGTGGGGGAGAGGTCCACACGGGGCAGGGCAAGAGGAATGAGGATGCTTATATTAAGCATCAAATATCTCAAACATGAAAGGTCAGTATCTCAGAAGTGCCAAGGAAGTCTGCAAAATAGAGTAAATAAAATCCTTTCACATATGAGATATGACGATTTTTCTATAGAAGTATTTTAATGCAATGAAAATGTGGTTGGGGGGGGTGGGGTGGGTTAGGCTTTGTTCTTACAGTCCCCCATCACACAAGGCTGTTTTACCTAATTCTGCCTTCCCCACAGGGCACCCATTGCTAGTGCAATGCAAACGGGCTGGTATGAAGGCTTGAGTGACTGACTCCCTGTGTGTTCAAAAGGCTGGGGAACCTGATCCCACATTACAGACAGGAGTGTCTAGGAGCATTTGTACATGCTGCCCAGAAATGACCATGCTCAGAGTCTGGAGTCAGAGGGACAGGAGACAGCCCCCAAAATAGCTTTTCCTTTCTCCCATCACACTAATAATTTCTGCTGATCTCTACAGAGTATATTCTCTAGGCAATGAACTGCCTTTTACTCTGGAATCAAAACAAGAGAAGCAGGTACAGAAACAGGACTTACCTTGGAGCCACGCTCATTAAAGATTATCTCTACATCAAGGATTTTGCCAAATTGCTGCAGAGAGACAAGGAGAAAAAAAGATTTATTTTTGGCAATCCATCTTTCCTACCTTTTAGGAGCTGGCTTAGTGCAAGAATGGAGATGAGATATTTCCATTTCTAGCATACAGGCAAAGGCATAAAATCCCGGTGACATGACCCAGTTCTCTCAGGTTAGGACATACGGATCCTCTTGGTCACAGACCCCAGGTTTTCTCACAAAAGTCTAAAGGAAGAAAAACAATCTCCCAAAGAGTTTTAGAGATTTGAGGTGGCTTTTCTTTTCCCCCTTTTAATCTAAACAATTCTTTCTTCCCTCATTCTACTGTTTCATCTAAGACATGGTTACATGATTTCACCGCAGACATCTAACAACATTTCTCAAATGTAATTCAACATTTCATCTTCCTCCTGAAGTGGCTATCACAAAGAGAAACTTAACAATGATGATGTTTCTCTGAAGGGGATAGTCACATAAGACTTTCCTCCCCCCCTTTACTTTCCAAAACTCCAAGCCTTCAAAAGAATTGCTGGCAGATTCAGAAACCATGAAAATGGCCAACCCCCAACAGTTTGTTTTTCAGAAAAATATCATTCAACTTCAACCTGTGACATACAGCAGGCTGTCGATAACCCATGCAAGTTTATCACGTATGATACAATTCTGACCTTTGCCTCAGCCTGGAGACCCCAAGGAGAGCAGGGCCCCACTACTCTGCACCGTTTCAACAACTGGTTCCAAAGAGTTCCCTACTTAGCACAGAGCAAAAATGGGAAACGAGAGCTACAAGCTAGAAAGGAGATTTACCACGCTCTGTGGAACCATATATGGGTCACATCCTTCACCTTGGAACATATTAAAATATTTTTATTGAACTGGCCAGATTCAAACCAGTAACCTATAGGTAAAAGCATCACCACTTCAACAGCGCCCCGCAATGCTCTGTCCTCTAGAAGTGTCAATGTTGTATTTCCAAACCAGAGGTCTGCTCTCCAGAAAGACAGGTCTAAGATCTCATTTTCAGGAGCATATATACAGAGCAGTCTTCATTCTAGAGATGCATATTGCGCTCAGACAAATGCTATGTCTGAGCATTTTTCCTACCCCATTGTTTACAAAAGCTTCTGTCAACATGGTTTTGATCTCACTGCTTGCAGAAGATTTAAAGGTGGTAGCAAATGAAGGAAGGGTCAAAAAGAAAAGAAAGGATAGTTTCACAGTTCGGAAAGATGATGAACACAGCCTCTGGGCACTGGGACACTCTCCACTTTGCCACGGTGCTCTTAATTAAAAAAACAAAATGGCAAATACTACATTAACATTTCCATTCGAAGTCAAATGGGTATAACACTCGTTTTGTGGATGCCCTGCCTGAAAGACTTGCGGCCAGATTTGCAAACATGGAACATTTACAACAGTGAGCCATGATGACTGAGGAGAAGCTCTGAATATGTAAAGCAATAAAAAGCTATTAAGTCCCTTGAACAAGTATTCCACAACTGCCTTTAAGCAAACAAAATGCTTCCAACAATTTTAGCTATAGTTTCTGTCTGCTTCCATTCTCCGTTCTTAAAAGGAGATAGTTGTATTCTTTTACAAATGTTGGTTCACAGATGTTGTTTTTACTGTTCTATTGTTTAAGGACAATACTTGATCTTCTATTCATCCCAAGAACAATTGAATTCACAACATCCCACCTTACACGAAGTTTGAATAATGCTAATGTAAACATGCATCTTCCTTGAAACCTCAACATCTCAACAGTTTAGGCTAGATCCATGCTGGATCCTCTTTTGACCACTGCTGTGCCAATCACAGCTAAAATACATTTTCTATTTCTACCCCACGCTTGCTGTGGGCTTGTCTATAAAGGAGATTAGCCGTTGATTGCTTTTTGTTGTCTTTGTTGCATATGGCTTGGGCACTGCCATGAAAGAAATCAGTCATGATTACTTTCTTGGTAGACTATTTCAGTGTTGTTACACGACAGGGGCTGAACCAATTTAACAGCTTGCGGCTGCTGAAGGGCTGTCCCTGCTCCCTTGTCCGGTCTCACCAGCTTCCTAAAGCTGGCCCCAGTTTTCATTCTCACCTGTAGATAAACTGAGACAGCTCACCAATCTTGCAAAAAACTAGCCCAACAAAAGGAATAAATACAAAGGTATTGACGATTTACTGAAGTGGCTCAAAGGGTCAGGTGAGCTTTAGGGCTCTGAGAAGCAAAAGGGTGTGGGAAAGCAGCACACCCTGCCCAAAGCAGGATCTGTCCCTGCCAGATCAGCTCAGCTGCCTAGCCTTGCCACACACACTGAAACAGCCAGGCTCTCAATAAATGCGAATGCCAAAATTATTTTCAGAATCTTCAAAGCCATCAAAAATCACTATTTTCTACCTCATTAGAACCATCTTGAAAGAGAACAAACTGTGCAGCTTCTGGTGTACAATTATGCCGTGCCATCTTCCCCTTTCTCCACACCCAGCTGGGCCTGGATCCTCAGGTATTACTGCCAGCCCCGTTTGGCTAAGCTCACTGCGCAGGGTTTTCACACCAACAGGAAATCCTGTCTTGCGTGTTTAATTTCTTGTGGCTGACAAAAAGCTGGCAGTAACGCTGAATGCAAGTGGTCTGACCTAGCTCCGTGAGACGTGGCAGGGCTGCCTCCCTGCCCTGTAGATGATGGAGGTACATCGTTTCCTAGATGACAGAATTAAGATCACCAAATCCTGCGGTTGCAGCGAGCACAGGCTTGACGTCTACTGCAGTGGGCTACATCCACCCTTGCAAACTGCCCCAGTCTCTTTTCTACCTAGGAGTTGTGGGTGTTTGAAGAGGCAGGAGGTAAGGACCTGCTTGGGAGAGAAGGAGCAGAGACAACAGGTGCTAACTGCTGAACTGAGGTTTGCTGATGAGGGGTTTCCTACCCCATGAAATTCCCTGGAAGAAAGCAGCACGGCCGCGAGGCAGGAGAATGTGCACTGGGCTCTTCAAGACACCGCTGCAGCCATTGCCACAGCTGCTCTGACAGCTCCTAACACCAGGGCTCTCGTCCTCACTGCTGCAACGGTTACAGCAGGTCCAGCACTGGAGGCACTTTTTTTTTTGGTAGAGTGCCAGAATTTTCCTGAAGAATGAAAGCAGAAAAAAAGAACTAGTTCATTTTAACAGTTTATATCTCCTTCAAAGCTGAATCTAATTTAGTGGAACATAAAAAGGCACTTTGTTCTCTGATGGTGCTTCCCCTACCAAATGTCAACAGCCTACTGCAAACAATGGAAGTTTTAAGAGCTCCTTAGTGAAAGGTCACAATTTTTGTATGGAAAATGCTAGGCCGTCTAAATACAAGGGTCAACACCAAATGCCCCCATAGTAATTTTTTAAAATCACGTATACAGGCGTGTTTGTATTTTCCAGCAGACAGAGGGTCTGGCCAAATAAAACAAGACCCATGCTTAGGTCATCCATGAGGCCTAACCCTCTAATCTCTAACCTTGAAGACATGAATCACTATGCTCACAGACCTGATTTGTTCACTCAATGATTACCAAGAACTTCTACTTACAACCCTGCACAACAGCCAGGGGGAAAAAATCCTCAGCAGAGTTCACAGCCTCTGAAGAAGGCATTGCGGGACTACACATCTCAAATGCTCCCCACCATGACTTAAAAAGCTTACTTATGTGACCAAGAAGCGAGCATCCCCCAGCGCATGTCAGTTTGTGCAAGCAGCCTCCTCCATGAACTGCTCGTGCGCACGCCATATGATGGATAGATATACACACACAGTTCCAACCGTGCCATGTCATAGAGGCTACAGCATCTTGTTTTATCTTAATGCTCCATTCCCTGGAGTGACCTTGTACCAGCTTTTAGCTATTTTTCTGTAAAGCAGGTAAATGAGAATCACCTCCTCTACAATGGTAGCAGGAGCTGTTGGAAAGAACAGTTTTAAGAGGCGTAAAGATATTAACAGACATAAGCTATGACCAGAACCCAATTTTCTTGCTTGAACATGATTTACCTTATCATAGAGGCAAGGGCATTGTGCAAGAAAAGGTATATGCATGCTGTGTGTTTCTTTCCACCCAGATGACATGAAGGCAGCAGATTTTTCCAGCAGAGGCCATAACTACATTACATATAATAAATTTGAGAGATCTGGCACCAGAGAGCTTTTGCCTTCCAAGGCACTGACAGTTTGGTAGGGCCCCTCCTGTATGCTCTGTTCCAGCTGGCCCTGCCTCCTCTCCTTGTCTAGAGCTTTCAAAATCAGCTCCAAAACGTGCCAGACAGATAACTTAACCCTAAAGATGCAAGCAACAGGGAGTACAAGGCAAATTCTCCAGAAATCACAGAACAACAAAAGGTAACATGAGACACCATGCGACAACCTCACATCCCTACAAGAGAACTCTGTATGCCCAAGCAGCTTTGCACTGGCCCTACAAAATTCACTGAGAGATGAGTGCAGTGAGCTATCCAAACTTCAAAGGTGCCAAAAAGCCCATTCTCAAAGATGACAGAAATTCAAAATAGCCAGGAAACCAACCTCCTGTGCAGGAAACCATTTCAGGTCCTCAGGCTTGAGGTGTGTGAGCAAGAGCATTTCATATGCAGGATAGGTCCATGCTGCAGAGAGCATCATTACCCTAGCTCCCAGCTTCATGGGATATACTTTCAGCTGAGAACAGCTGGCTCCATCATAGCGTGTATTAGTCAGTGCTTAGTTATGGCAGCATGGGGTCTGCCAGAGCTACGCTTCTATCAGTACATGAACTTCCTCACCTAAAGCTGGGTCACATCTCTTCAAAATAGTGGGGCCAACCCTGCTACAGTCAACCCGGTTCAGCCAACCTACACCAGTATGCTTTGCTGACAGGAAGATGGAAACATCAAGGATTTATAAACCAAAGCACTACCATAGTTTACCAACTGAACAGACAGTAAACAAGCACCAAGCAGCCCTTATTATGGTTGACCTGTTGCCCAGCAAAACACAGATGTTTTCTAAGAAACC